GACATGCCAGTACTAAACTAAGAAGTTTACATATTCAATTATTTTAAATAAGCAGAGTTTAGGAATTTAAAAGCCACCTGCTTTGCATACCTCTGTAAAATGGTGTAGATCTGCTAGCCATAGGTAAGGTAAACTCAGAGGATATAAAAACCCCAACCTGCTGCTGCCCTTCAGAGATCTCTGACCCAAAGGCAGAGTTCTTGCCGTGCTGCTGAGAGACATTGCACAGATACCTAAACCCTCTTTCTGCTTCCCCTTTCCCCTTGGAGTTCCCTTGCCCTTCTTACCTGCTGAGAGATGTTTTTCCATCCTACCTCCTTCTGAAAGGTCTTAGGCGTTGATGAACCAATCACACTCACTGGCAAACCTGTCCAAGCATTGACCAAATAAACCATTTGTGCTATTGACACCTCGTGGATATATCTTTTTCCTTGACCTGTTCCCTATTCCCTTGAAACATACTTAAGTTTCATATATTTTAATTCTATATATAATGTAAACCACAAAGAAATTCATATTGCATTAATTTTATATGGCATTACTCTTTCTATTTCTATTCACTTCTTGCATCTCTTAATTTTTATATGGGAAACTTTCCATACAGTATTTTCTTTAATGTAGGGTTTCTGGTCATCAATTTCCTCAGTTTTTTTGTTTTTGTTTCACCTTTATGCTTTATGGATGATTTCAGTGGTTCTTGCAACTCATTAAATTCCCTGAGTGCCAAAGTTGCACATAATGTAAAGCTCACTTCTGAACTTCTTTTTGTTTTTTGAGGTAGTGAATTTTCAAGTCCTCATTGCTTCAATAGGCTTCTGATGCTGTCTCAGTAGTTTCTGATGCCATTAGTTTCTTTTCTCAAAATTTCTAGTTGCTTTGTGGCAAGGTTATTACAATCAAGTACACATTACTAGAAATGGGACTCTTAATAACACTATAATAATTTATTGGCATTCCAATTTTGTTACCATAATTTGTTTAAATAGTATCTAGTTGTTTAGTATTCATATAGTTCTCAGCTCTGTTATTAGAAAAATGTATATAATAAAAATTATTTTAGCTACATCTCTGCACATATAGCTTATTATTTCCTTAGGCTATATTTCTAGAGGTAAAATGACTGGTTTATAAAGTATTCTCAACTTCAAGGTCTTTAGAAATCACTGAACTCTAAGTTTAAAATATATACTTCTGGGGGGTAGCAGGTGGCATGGTTGTTAAGGGTGCTGGACTCCCACAAGGTCGACCATGGTTTGAGTACCAGAGGTGGTGGCTTTCTTTCTCACTCCCCCTCTCTCTCTCTCACTCTTCCCCACTCTGGTCAAATTAAAATAAGTAAATAAAGTTAATTAAAGTAATTCTTTAAAAACATCTACTTTTGAAGCTTAGAAATATCCTACACATTTTTTTTAGAGGTTTTACTATAGGGCACGTGTGCTTGCCAGAAAGACAAATATAGAAAGACAGAAAGTGAGAAATTACCCCCCAGGGGGGGATGGCCATGCCACAATCCGTTCTTTTCCATTCTCCTCTCGGGATCTTGGGCATGCATGCACATGCACCCGGCATGAGTTTAAGTCACTGGGTTTGGGACGCGAACCATGGTCAGTTACATTGGAGTCCAGCGACATAGCCATTACACTAACTGCTGGTACCTATCCTAGACATTTTTGTCCTCTTTCTCTGAATGGGCCCTTGGACATAATAACTATATTGAACTTCCCAGAACTGCAACTGGATGCATGGCATACATAGGATTACTTCTCCAGTTGGAAACAGAGATGGTGATATTTTGTGACTATAGAGCTATTTTTTCCTCTCCCTGAATAAATGTAAACAAAACCTGCTCCCAGATTATAGTGGAGACCTTAAGAAAAACCAAATATGTAAATGTTTGCATGAAGGTACAAAAATATCAGTACAGGATCAACAGTGATAAACTGCATGAGAGGGGATTGGTTGTATGAATGTTAGAAAGTTAATTCCCTTCCTGCTCTCTCTCACACATACATTCTTTCCTTGACCTACTTCTAAAACACACTGGTCTTAGAAGAAGACTGAGTCTACCGTGAGAGCTGAGATCTAGTGTTTTCAGGGATAAGAGCAACGAAGATATTCTGCTGAGAAGTTACTCTGACAAACAGAGAGGGTAGGCCAGAAGAAGACTGAGTCCTCCATGAAAGCCGAGATCTAGTGATTTCAGAGATAAGAGCAATGAAGATGTTCTGCTGAGAAGATACCCTGGTAGAGCCCCTGTTGTCTTTTTCTTTCTGTCTTTCTGTCTCTGTCTTTTCTTTTTTTAATTTTCCTTAAACAAATTTTTTTAAGGTAAAGTTTTTTCTTGGCTTTGAAATCCTCTTTTGTCTTATTAATAATCCCTCCCCCCCATCTAGGCAAACAGAAAGGGTAGGCCAGAAGAAGACTGAATCTGCCATAAGCCCTGAGATATAGTGATTTCAGGGATAAGAGCAATGAAGATGTTCTGCTGAGAAGTCACCCCTGGTAGAGCCTGTTCTGTCTTTTTCTGTCTGTCCCTCTCTATCTTTTTGTCTCTGTCTGTTCAATTTTTTTTGAAGTTTTCTTTTATTAAATTTTTTAAGGTAAAGTTTTTTCTTGACTCTGAAATCCTCCTTTATCTTCTTAATAGTCCCCTCCCCTTTCCCCTCCCATCTAGGCAAACAGACGCTCCCAGCGAGGCAAACAGAAAGGGCAGGCCAGAAGAAGACTGAGTCCGCCATGAGAACGGAGATCTAGTGATTTCGTGCTAGTGTGCCACACAGTTTTCATTTTTTTAAAAAAATAAAATCTAATAAATAATTTTTTGTTTGCTTTTTCCATTTTTCTCTTTTTCTCTCTCTCTCTTTCTCTGTTTTCTTATTCTTTTTCTACCTAATCATTTTGCTGCTCAGCCTCCACTTACTGACTGTCTAGACAGGTGTAAGTGAAAAGTTGCCAAAATTTGAATACTATTTTGATCCTTATATTCCTCAACTCCCACTTAATCTGCAACACAAAGGGAGAAAAAAACGCAATGCCAAAGAGTTTGCAAACCACATCCTCCTGTGCACCTCTGATAACTCAGATTGATCTTCTAGAAATTAGGAAGAAACGAATAACCCATCAGATGACCAGAAATAACCACAGGGGCACAAGAAATAAGTGAAATCAAGAAAATACCTCTCCCCCAAGAATAAAGAATAATTCCTCTTCATCCACAGACAGTACAATGGAACTCATGGAAATGTCTGATAAAGAATTTAGAGTATTCATAGCGACAAAATTAACAGAAATGGAAGAGAAGAGAGAAAATGAACACCAGAAGAAAAAAGCTGATGAGTTCCAGGAGGCGAGGAAGTTCTAGCGAGAGCTGAAAGAGGAAATAAAAAAGAATCAAATGGAACTGTTGAAGATGAAGGCTATAATGCAGGAAGTCAAACCCTCCATTGAAAGTATTAAAAGCAGACTAGATCATACAGAATATCAAATCTCAGATATAGCAGACAGAATCACTGGACTAGTAAAATCCACCACGAAGACTGAGAAAATAGCCCCCCAAAGAGAATTATATACGAGAAATACCAGATACCATAAAACATCCAAATATCTGGATAATTGGTAACCCAGAAGGTGAAGAGACTAAAAAGAGCATTGAAAATCTATTCCATGAAATCCTGCAAGAAAACTTTCCAAGTCTAGAGAAGCATTCAAAGATTCAGTCCCAAGAAATACAAAGAATGCCAAACAGAATCACCCCAAGATCCTTTCCAAGAAACATTATAGCCAAAATGATCAAAACCACAGAAGAAGACAAGATACTAAGATTTGTAAGAGAGAAATGTCAAGTTACCTACAGACGATATCACATCAGTCTAACAGCGGACCTCTCATCAGAAGTAATGTGAGGAAAGAATAGGAAAATATATTCAAAGTGTTAAGGGAAAAGCAATTTCAACCAGGAATACTGTACCTGGCAAGATTATCCTTCATATGAGAAGAAAAGACAAGAACATTTTCAGATAAAACCTGAAAGAATTTGCCAACATCAGACTGTAGATCTTCAAGAAGTTCTCAAGGGAGTGCTATACCAGAAATATTAAATACAGACACACAGAAATAAGAGTTTAAAAACTAATAAAATGGATTTGAATATTATATCCCAGAATTTAATTGGGAAGATCAAACCACAACAGAAGGTAGATTAACTACATTAAGTATGAAAAATAAATAAATTAAAAAACCACACTGGTCTGTGACTCCACTGTTTTTCTTTCTATTCTGCTTACTTAGTTAAAATGATTTTCCAGTAATTGTTCTTTTGGTAAACACCTACCTTCTCATCTTTTAAATACTACTCTGTTGTACACTGTACTCTGTATAAACTTCTAGAAAAGTTTGCTTTACTTTGTTATGGTCTCACTTCCCCCTTTACATCGGAAGCTCTTTGAGGACAAAGAAATCAACTCTAACTTCTGGAGAGATGATCAATGTTGAATGAATGAATGAAGGGGTCAGGATTGAATCTGTTCAAAAGTGCTAGAATAATAGTAACAGAGTGGAACAGAATAGATTACAGCCTCAACACTCAGTATTCAAATGAACCTCGCGATAGCTCTATTAAATGTGCAGGTGATTGGAGAAGAGATTAACCAAGCCTTAAAGAGTTTTAGAGGTTTTCCCAAGGCAGGTAGCCATCCTCTGTACTGATAAGGGATGAGACTGGGAATAACAAACTTTTTAACCTTGTTCTAGGTTTCCTAAACGGGATTAAATTCCAGGCTTTCAAACCCTCTAGGGAAGATTTCTTTCTGTGACACAACAGGGGAGAAGTTATTACATACCTAAACAGGGAAAGTGATAGAGGAGCCAAGGGCGAAAGTAGGGGATGCACCCTTCCAGTGACCATGCATATTTTCCCTAAAACAATTTCACAGAAAGGGCAAATCCCGAGGATACTAACCATGAATTTTGAGAATTTGTTAATTGCCTGGCATTTTGTTTAGGTGCCCTGTAATAGGTACCCTAACTCTGAAAAGTAGCTATTATTGTCTTCGTTTTTATTCCCTACCATCTGCTCCAAGCTCCCTGCCTCATCTTACCAAAGTCTCCCTCCCGCCAGTGTTCTATGCAGAATCACCACATACACTCTGGCCTAGGGGAGGGGCTGGGAGGAGCCGAGTGGGGGCTTCTTGTCGCAGAGTCGGACTGCGCCTGCGCGGACTGCAGCAGAGGGCGGAGTGTAAACCGCCAAATACACTGAGACTAGCGTTCACTGTTGGGCAGTATCTTCCTTCTTTTTCTCCACCTCTAATTTCAGCTTTAGTAAATTGCTTGGAATTTTGGTTTTAGCAGCAGCAGCAGCAGCAGGCGCCACAGCAGCAGA